CCCCGCGCCGCCCCGCCTGGTATTGGACTGCCTCGCGGCCCGGCGGCCTGGCGGACGGGATGGGCTGACGGCCGCCGCAGCGAGCACCGCGGCGAGGGGCGGGGGAGGCAGTCGGGAGTCGGGGCAGGCGCCAGCGAGGCGAGCCAGGCCTAAGGGATGACGATGAGGGGTGGACGCCGCCCGTCCAGAGGATTATAGCGCGTCGCGGGGCGCGGCGGGGACGCGGCGGGGACGCGGAGGGAAGCGCGAATCAACGTGGCACGTCGCGGGGCGGCGAGGGCGGCGCGCTAAGCCGCGCGGGGAGGCGGGGGAACGCGGGGAGGGACGCGTCGGTATGAGCGATTAGTCGTCATTGCGTCGGGCCGCTCATTTCGCGGCGTCGTCTCCCTTGGCAGCGCCGCGACGCCAGCCGTGACGCCGTGACCTGTCAGGGCCCGCGGGGCTGGGGGCTGAAGGGCTCGGCGAGGGGCGTGACGTCAGGCGCAGGACGGCAGGGCTGCCCCAGGCCTCAGGGCGGCCGATCTGGTGGCTGGTGGCACGTCCATCAACGAATCGCGGCGAATAATCGATGCGGTGGTTATTGCCCGCCCCTGCACGCCCCGCCATCGCCATGCCAAGGCGTTGCCGCGTTGCCCGCCGGCGCTCCCCGTGCTCCCAGTCCTGCCCGCCGACTTCGGCTCGCGGCTAATTTTTACCGCCACGGCGTTCGTGCTGCACCGCAGCGCTATCTGATCTGGCGTGCCGTTTGGGGCCGCGGGCACCGCGCGGGCACCGCGGGCCGCGACGTCGGGTGACCCGAGCCGCGACGCGTGACTCATGTGCGGAGCGGCGCGCCGGCCGCGGCACGCACGCTGTGCCGCTGTACGGCATCAACCCGATACGGGTTCCCCCTCCGCCACTCCGCCCCCTGTCCCGCGCCGCCCTTTGGGGCCCGCGGCCCGCCTGCACGGCCTGCACGGCCTGCACCCCGCGGCGACCGTCAGGCCGCCAGACCGCCACGAGCGGAGGCGCGGCGCGGGGGCTGATGCATGGCGCATGGCGACGCTGCAGCGCCGCAGCAACTAGACCTGACCGCAGCCTCGGAGCCCTACCGCCCGCCCCGCGGACCCCCGTCGCACCCGGCCGCGGCAGCGCTGGACGGTGACAAGCAGTCCGCGAACGCCGACAGCCGATATGCCAGCCGCGCAGCCGCGACACGACCCGACCCCGCGCGGGCTGACACATGGCCTGCATGTGCACGGCCCGGCCTGGCCCGCCACTCCGCCACCGCGGCGGCGTCCAGCGAGGCCCTGTGACGCCGCCGTCACGTCGCCGTCACGTTGCCGTCACGCGATGTGGAGCCGCCGAGTTTTTATCCCGAGCCGGTGCATGTGACTAAGCCGACGCACCATAAACGTGCGGCGTCTGCGAAAATAAAACGAAAACAGACCCCCCTCCCCTCCCCTTTCCGCCTCCGGCGCGGCCACCACGAGGACCTAACAGTGATGAGGTGATTCCTGCGCGGATTCGCCGCCGCCGCGTCACCGCGTCGTCGCGGCGTCGTCGCTCCGTCTCTCTCGCACTCACGGTGCGTGCCGAAGGTGCGCGAGAGAGACAGAGCGCTGTTCGGAGTCGGTCCGCTGCCGCCGGATACAGCGCCACCGTGCCGTGGCCGCGCCGCCGCGTCGCCGGCCATCCCAGCGCACGCGCGTGTGACTCATTCCGCGAACGGCGGCACGTCGTGGGTGGCGGCCGCGTGCGTCGCCGTGCTCGCCGTGCTCGCCGTGCACTCGCTGCGTTCGCGTCCGCTGCCTGGCCGTCGCCATGCCGTCGCTGCCCCGCGCGCACCGCCGAGTTTCCGTTGGCGTCCCTAAGTCCCTCGGGCAGTGCCAAGTCAACAGTGCCAGTGCCCCTGCCTCGCCCGGCCACGCCGCCACGCCCCGCCTCGTCAGTCGCCGCTGTACCACCCGCGCCCCGCGCCGCCCCGCGCCGCCCCGCGCCGCCCACGCCGCCCCGCGCCGCCCGCGTCGACCCTAGTTCCGGGAACGCGGGGCGGCCCGGCGGCCCGGCACGCCACGACGCACAAGGCGCAAGGCACAAGCATCCCCTGGCTGAAATGACCGACGCCGCCAGCGCCCCGCCTGCCTGGCTCCTGGCTGCCCGCCTGACTGCACGGCCCGGCTGACAGCGAAACCCACTAAAAACATTTGCGACTTCCTGCACATGGTCCCCCCGGCCCTTTGCCCTTGGAGGCCCTGGTCTCAGGCAAGGCCCTGGCAAGGCACGCACGGCGACACGCCCCCGCCGACACATCTGCCCTGGGAGCGCGGCACCCCGGCACCCCGGCACCTGGGGTTCAAGGTTCCGGGGCCCCTAAATTGGGCCACATTCCGTTCCTGTCCGCGTCGCAGCGTCTCACACAACATTCAGCGATTTCGCGCTGTGCATCTTTTCAGTAGACGATCTGCTAGTGTAGACTCTCTTTTCTTGGCAGAAAAATTGACCCGGGCCAAAGACATGCGTTTGACAGAAAAATGCGCTCGGGCCGAAATCTCGCGGCAGCAGTAAGATAAAACTTTCATTAGTATCATTTCACGTTTAGCGTAAGCGTTAGCTTTTTATTTTGGCGGCCGGGTCGAGGCGGCGGCGCGCTGGGCGAAGGCCTCGCGGTCCTAAAGCCAGAGCAGAGGGACCGAATGAGAGAAATCGCTACGCCGGGCAAGCTGGCGGCCCGGCGGTGCCTGGCGGCCAAAGGGCGAAAAAGGGACAAAACAACCGTGAAACGCGAACGAGCGAGCGAGAGAGAGAACCGGCGGGACCGTTGCGAAGGCGCGGCGGGGCGGGGGAGGGTGGCGGGCTGCGTAAAATATGGGACTGGGCGGGACAGGACATGACGGGACTGGTGCGGGGACGGGGACGACGGGGACGACGGGGACGCCGTAGGGGCAGTGCCGGCAGTGCCCGTGGGCGGTGCGCGGTGCGGTGCGCGCGGAGGGGAGCGAGCGGCGAGCGGTACGGCGGGCTGTTGGTGCAAAAGTCCGTGGCTTGGGGCGGCGAGTCGTTTTGAGGGCTTCACCGCCGGCACGGCACGGCACGCCACGCCAAGCCTTGCCGGCAGGCGCAGAACGACGGACACGAACACCCCCTGCGAGGTTTTCCTCCTTTTTCGGGGGAGTTTTTTTCCCGGCACGGAATTTTCTCCGGGCGCGCCACCTTGATGTCGTGGCCGTGGCGCCGCGGGTCCAAATCGCCCCACCCCAGCGTCGCCCCGTCGCCCCGCCGCCCCGCCACGCGACGCAGCCAGCCCGCGTGATAAGGCGACAGCGCCGCGGCCCTCCCTCCAAGGGACGGCGCCAGCCTGGCCCCAGCCCAATCCGATAAACACGCACGCACACACACACGCACGCGCCCACACACACACACACACACACACACACACACACACACACGACGCGCCACGTCGCGGGGCAGATCGCGCCTTGCCGCGAGGGCGAGCTGGACCGGGGACCGGACCGGTGGAGGGTCAGCACCGGGAGTCTTCCGACGGCCCAGCGGCCCGACCGGGCTCTGTCCCCCGGAGATAACGAACGACGCAGGCACCGCGGAACTCCCCGCCTCCCCTCTCGCCTCTCTCGGCGGTGTCAAAGGTCGCCGTCACGGACTCCGTGCCGCGGGACGCGCGGGGCCGGCAGTGCGCCGGGCCCGGCCCGGCCGCAGGTTGCAGTGTCTCGTCTGTTGACGGACAAGAGTTCTCAGCGGACGGTCCGGGCCCGGCAAAAAATAAATAAAGATGGACTGCGGAGGGGAGGTTGGCGGACCGCGGGGTGGTCATGCCTCTAGTCATGCCGCCAGCACCGCCAGCGGGAAGGATCCCGCCGAGCGCAAGCCGAGGGCCGAGGGAGCCGTAGACGCGCGCCAGACAGACGAATGGACCTCGAAATGGACGCGCCAAAGCGGTTGGGCCACTACTTCTCCTTCTCCAGCACGGCCGCGCTCGCTTCACTTCCCTTTTATGACGCAGCCAAGAGGCCAGGGCGGCCAGGGCCGCCAGGGCCGCCAGGGCGCAAGTTGCGGTAGGGCCCGGGCCGTAGGGCCCCGGCCGCACCTCGATAAAACAGTTGTAGCCCTTCCGCCCTTCCAGAGTCGTGCACTGCGCAGCGCAGAGCGGCGCCGGGCTCCGAATGGAACGGAGGAACGGAGTGAGGTGTAGTGGCGTCATACCTGTTGCCTCTCGAAGGGAAAAAGCGAACGGAACAGCAGCATCGCGCGGGGCGGGGCGGGGGAGCAGGGGCTCGAGGGCCGTGGGGAAGGGGGGGGGGGGCACTGGCGATGCCATTTAATTATGCTAATTAGCCGCGTGCTTACACCCGGGCCACACGGCGGCGGGCACAGTGTGCTGCCTTCTGGCCGATTCCGAATAACGGGCTTTTGTCGCCGTCTCTCTCGCACTGACTGGACGCCGTGTTTGAGTGTGAGAGAGACAGCCTGCAGTGCGCGGGCTGGCCGATGGACGAGTTTGCAGGGTAGACGCCCGGCCGGTCAGAGATAGGCCAGCCCGCGCGATTAGCGCGTCGGAGGTGGATTTAGCGCGGCGCTTCTAACGAGTGGCGTAGCGGCTGGGCCGCGGCCGGCTGGACCAGAGTTACATTCCGAGTTACACCCAGAGTTACATCCCCAGTTGCAACGGGGGCGCTAATGAACGGGGCGTGGGCATCTTTGCCTCGGCTGCTTGCCGGTCTGGCTGTCCGGAGGGAAGGCCCGGCAAGTCGGCAAGGCGGGGAGGGGAGGGGAGGGAGGGGGAGGACGACGTCCACCCTGCGGACCCTGCGCGGCAGGCGGGCGTGGAGGCGACGGCGGCGTCGCGGCGGCCGATCCGTGTGACCCGAACGCGCGCGCGGCACGGCGTCGGCACGGCGTCGTGGTGGGGGCAGCGGGGGGAGAAGGGGCGGGTGGGGGAGCTCGCGGGGCGCAGCGGTACGGCAGCGCAGCGAACAGCGGGCCAACGCAGCGAGCGAGGCAGGGCAGCGCGGCGGCGCGGCGCGGCGGAGCGCCAGTAGAGGAAGGAGCGGCGAAGAGGCAGCATCGCGACCCGAGGCCGTGCAGCCACCGCCAAGCCTGCGCCCAGCGCACCGCGTGTATACCGAGCGACGAGACGATCCACCGGCACCGGCAGCGCCCCGTTTTGACCGTTTGCACCTGTGCCCCTACAGTGATATGTGATTCCTCGGTGACTGCCGCTCACCCCTCTCGTGTTTGGCGAGTTTGCAAGAAGTGACATTGCGTGTTTGTGAGTGTGAGTGGACTTCGTGACCGATAGAGCCGCGCCGGTACCCACGGCCGGCGACACCGAGCTGCCTCACGGATTACCCGGCGTCCTGCACCTTGGCGGGCGCCTTCTTCTCCACCACGAGTCCCATCCCCGGCTTCACGACGGCGGCCGAACCGGTCTGCGTCATGTCCGCGGTGGCCAACTTCGCCAAGCTGGCGACGGCCACGGGACCCCCTTCCAGCAAGCGGCCCGTGCGGCAGTCCCTGCTGTCCGTGCGGGAGAAGATCGACGCCATCGACCGCGTCCACGAGGGCGAGTCCAAGGCGGCCGTGGCGCGCGACATCGGCGTGCCCGAGTCCACGCTGCGCGGCTGGTGCAAGACCGAGGACAAGCTCCGCAGCCTGGCGCGCGCCTGCGAGGGCAGTGACACTCCTCCCTCCGACCTCGACAAGGGCCTGGACCAGGACCCCTACTCGCCGGAGCCGCTGACGAAGCGCTTCCGCGTCGAGTCCGAGAACAAGCCGGCCGAGGGCGTGGACGACGCGCTGCTGTACTGGCTGAAGCAACAGCAGCAACACGTCGGCCTGGCCATGAACGAGCACCTGCTGGACGCCAAGATGGCCGCGGACGGCGTCGTCGGCGCCGACAACAGCAGCTGGTTCTGGCGCTGGTACAAGCAGTACGGCGTGCAGACTCAGCCCCTTCCTCTGGCCGAGCGCGCCGAGCGCGTGGACCGCCTCAGCGCCGCCGACATTGAGCGTGAGCGCGAGCGCGAACTCCAACTCCGCGAGCGCACCGTCGGCACCGTGGGCACCGACCTGACCACCTCCATCACCACGGGCCACATGTCACCGTCCATGTCGCCGCCGTCTCAGCCCGAGTACCTGGACCGCGACTACGACACCCCGTTGTCGCTCGTCAAGCGGGAGCGCCCCGCCGAGAACCGCGAGGCCGAGAACGACAGCCACCTGGCCATGAACCACTTGAACCACAACCACCTGCAGCACCACGACCACCTGCTCCAGCAGCACGTCAAGGACAGCCTGGACAACAACAACGTGACAGACCTGCGCAAGCAGGCCTCCAACCAGGCCGCCAACCAGCGCGTCGTCGAGTCCGAGGACGAAGACGACGAGCCGCCAGAGACGGCCGCCGAGGCCGTGAAGCACGGCGAGAGGTTCCTCCGGTGGCTGGAGTGCTGCTCCGACCCCTCCGTCACCGCCCTGCAGATCCTGCAGTTCCGGTACCTGCTCAACAACGTCCGCGCCTGCGCCGACCGACGCTCCCGGCAGGGGAAGTCCAAGGACCGGGAACGGTCGAGGAGGAAGTGAAGTGAACTTGTTATAGACTTTAGTGAGTGAATGTGAGAGTGACTTTTTGTGGACCTCAACGCCATCACAAGGCAGCTTTCCTGCCGCAGAGTATTTGAGTAGTCATCGAGTTGTTGTCTATTTTTGTACAGCTGCCGCTACCACCGCCACCATCACATGGACCGATGATTAACATATTGTATTGTGCGCCCGGTGTGTTATTTACCAGCAATACTGATGATGACTAGTGTATGTGTGTGTGTGTATCATCCCGATTTTGGAGCATTCCCCTCTCTTCTCTTCTAGCATTTGTACCCCACCCCTTCTTGTGACTTAATCAGATAGAAAAATAATTATTCTGTTTTGTTTTGATTACATTCGTTTTCTACCAATCTACCCACTTTGGTTTGTTTCATGTGTTCAGTGGTACTTAAGATATTCACTGTGAATTTTGCCAATCAGTTTAGTAGTGTATGTTGTGCTCTCTTTGGTCAATCAGTGATGCATACCTCAATTCCAAAACGTGTACCTGTAACTGCTTACATGCATTGGGATAGTCTTTCATAGCTGTTAATTTAGCCATGCTCTTAGGTGTACACACGCTGTATTGTGTGTTTTTGAAAGACCTGCTCAGTATTCCGCTACTGGTATATTTACCAAAGGTTCACAGATTGTACTAACAATTTTGCCATACGAGTAGCCATCATAGGCTGATGTCTCTGTTATTTCGTCACATGACTGACCCATAAGTCATTGAGTTTTTGGCTATCATGCCTGTTACTTATGATCAAAGTATGATATGCTTACCATTTAGTCTGAGAAGTGGTTCATGCATTTATTATATATAGATTACAATTGCCATATTTCCTACAAATTGTGATTTTGCTCATGTTGTGCTTAGTAGTGTTTTGATACTACAGTGTTGTTTGGTTTAAAGAATCTGTCTGCAGATCCTCAAAATTTTTATTGATCTAATATCCCTCATAGTCTCCAATTATCCAATTAATTAGAAGAGAAAGAAAACGTCACTTCAGTGGCATGCTTCTCTGTAGTTCGTACATATGTCATTCCACATTGGTCTCATTTCTTGTTTTCTTTTTTTTTTTTTTTTGAATTTTGAGTTGCTTTGTTACAAGGTTCCTAAGACTTATCTCTACCTTTGTTGCAAGTTCCATGTTCATTTAAGTATTATGTTTGTGGTTACATTGTGGGAATGATGTGCCAAAACTATTGTTAGAGTATTAAGTATTGTTTGATCTCTAAAAGACAGTGCCTTGTTTCGTGATTTCTTTTTATTATTATTATTATAATTATTATTGAGGTTCCAACTGCCAGGTACTTTCCAGAAATGGTAATGCTCCCTTTGCAACATCAAAAGCATAGCTCAGTTGATTTTGTTATATTGACTTACCAATCTTGTAGGATGGCTGATCGGGCTGTAGATAATATGATCAGCTATGAAGTCTGCACATCCTTGCCAGTGTTGTAGCTCTGGATAACGCATGGAAGTTGGTCTCACAGTGGTGCATACCATTTTCTGGAATAGCAAAAATGTCTTTTTGAGTTGGGGCGCCTGTCGAAGATTTTTATATTTATCCAAGCAAAAATTTGTCGTTGAGTCGAAAGTTATAGTTGTCTCTAGACTTTTAGAACAGTTGATTCAGCGACATCAACTTCAGTCTGTGATGCTTTATTATGGCTCGGATGTATCTTTGGAACAACACTTTGTTGGAGCCAGAGGTTGCCTCTGTTGAGACATGGTACCATGTACATATAATGTTGATTTATGTATATTTTTTCTTGCATAAGTACAATGTTATTAAAATGTTTTCTTTTATGTTGATTTTGAAAGCAACCCATGACAGTTTGCACTATCCTATATGTACTCATAATTCTCAGCTATTACCCATACCACAGTTTCTTAGCTTTTTCTCTTTGCCTGGTGCTGTGAGTGCAGCATTTATCTCACTATTGCTGTGCCCATTTGGGCTTTCCTGTCACATTCCTGATTTCCTAAGAAAAGTCCAAAGAAGAGTGATAACCAGTAGAATTGTGAATTGTTATGTTAGCTTAACAAAATGTTGAAAGTCCAAAGATTGTATATATGGATATAATGACTATTTTGAATAAAAATTAAGATGCCAACAAATCTCCTCTCTTTATCATTGAACACTTGCCTGCAATCCACACTCATTCTCTACAGCGAGCAAAAGTGGTCTTCTATGAGGAAATTCGTGATGAAATTGCTGCCGGAAATTTTCAGCATACCACATCAACAGCTTCTCCTTGTTGGTATTTTCCGAAAATGATGCTGGATAGTACTTCCTCCTGATAAAAAAAACAATCATAAATTCATGAATAAATATTGAAAATACTTTGAGTGCTGACAACCCTTACTCTTGATGAAGATTATTATTCTGTGGCCAGCAAAGCTTTATAATTCCCAGTTCTATGGCGATTTCTTTCAGTCTTTGGGGTGTTATACAACTCAATGTCTCAACATGTGAGCTGGTGCTGGATGACAACGTGCTTCCCTTCTTGCGACTCGACGTACTGCCTCTAAAAGATGCAAATGACGTTGCATCGCCTTCTTCTCCATGAAATCCTTTACCTCTTTCCTGAAAACTATCTCTTTCAGTCACCAATAAAGACTCAGATTCTTCCATTGCTGCTTGCTAGACAGCCTGTTCTCCACCAATGATAAAAACAAAGTTGTGCGTCGCTGTTTCCATAGCAACGCAAGGGGGTACACAAATGAGTATCAACAGTTGTCTATTGAAATGGTTTTGAAAAGGAAAAAGAAAAGACAACACAAGAAACAAAGCAATTTAAATGGATGAAACACAATTTAATATGCTGATATAACAATGAGTCCAGGTCCACATACTTGTCAAGCAATAGCAATGAAACACAAAGTCATTCTATGGTTAATAAAACAGCTAAAAGGAACGCCCGTGTCCGGTTATTGTCTTTTGCCGAATAAGATAGTATGAAGTGAAAGAATTGAAGACTGAATCACAAATATAAACACAGTAAGGCTGACACACGTAACCTAGGCAAAAATTGGCCTGGATGTAACTACAGCATGAATTCGATGACAGAAGCCAACAGTATATCGTCAATCGAAAGTTTATTTTGAATTTCGTATTAAAATGTTAAATGAATACACTAGAACAACATGAGTGTATTTCTCTATTGACTTCGTGACTTGAGCTTGGTTCCTTCTGCTAGAGAAAAATATTTTTGTTTACATCATGTGTCTTCTGCTACTGCGCTATGAAAAATTTTCTAACCGGAAAACATTTGCAGATAAGGTGACCAGATATATCAAAAATTCACCCACGTCAGCAAAGATACATTTCAAGCAAAGTGGAAAGTACAATATTTCAATAAATTTTCTCTCTCATTTCTCTGAAAAAGTTTTGACTGCGTCCTGAGTTTTTTTGGAGGTGGGTTTTTATTCGTAGTTGAGTACAGTCACGCAAAGGACAACTTTGAGCTTAAATTTTTATGAGGCTTTTGTCTTTTACCTCTGACCTCAGTTATTCTTTACTATTTGTCTTGAAAATAACCAAGATTCTAACTAGAAACATGGCGTTTTTGGCCCAGTTTCTGTTACAGTTACCTATCAGCTGATTTTTGTGATTGTGGCTTCAAAAGGTGGTAGGGTCCCAGGGGCCGTGAGGTAACAACGCAAACAAACAAATGACAAATGACGTCGTTCTGTGTTTAGGTTTGCGCATGTTTTGCGAGCTAAAGTTTACAAAGGAAGTGATTCGTCTGAAATGACTATTCCCCTTGCTTCTAGTAGATCGTAATTTCTTGCCATCTCATAGCTGAAAATGCCGTGGTTTCTGCCATGGTCTGAAAACATTAAGAAAACTGCCTGTAGATACTTGCTACAGAGGTATTTAGGACAATTTTTGGAAGAAAAACTGACCTTGGATCAGCTGACAGTAGATCTTTACAATGGAACGGGGACTGTTTCGGACGTTAGCTTGGATGTCCAGGTATGTACCAAATATGCGTCTTAATTTAGGAGTTCGACGAAGCCACTACTGTGACCCATGTTGTTTTTATGAGCCTTGGTTGCACCTTCTCCTTTGTTTACCTTTTCATCTGGCTGCTCATTTCCTTTTTTAGAACCTTTGATGTTGCTTTTTTTAAAGAACGTAGACACCCTTGTATGTTTTCACTCTTAAACTTTCTTACTGCAAATCAATGTACTTCTATTAAGGCCTCTTCATACGCTACAAGTCTCAGAGTCACCTGCGTCTCAGATCCATTGTCTCGGTGTAGGTTTTGAGAGCTTTTCCTTCATTCTTGGTTGAAAATGGCTGCTACCTCAATATTTACTCTATTCCAATATAGCAGTCTTGTTATTGTCAGTAATAATACATTTCAATAAAAGAAAATGGTTACTTAAGAATACAATACATGGCTGAAGATTAAAGCATGAATCCATAAATTAACCGAGCAGTGGCCTTGGTGGCAGAGATTGAATACATGGTTTGTAAATGTGCACATTAGGGAATTTTTTTTTCAAACTTTTTCTTTCAATTCTACTTTTTAGGCTCTCAATGAAATGGGGGAACAACAAAATCTGCCGGTGGAGTTTGTGGATGGATTCATTTCGGAGATCTCAGTTTCTATACCATGGAAGTCCTTGCTCAACGATTCAAGTTTCGTGGAGGTGAAAGGGCTAGCTTTCACAGTGCAACCCAAACAACGAGCCGACAGTGGTAAATAGTAAACCTGCTTATTGTTGTATTCTCACCACTAAAATTACATCCTTTTATGTTGGCCTTTTTGTTTTCTCAAGGGACGTCAATGTTTGAATCCATGTGGAGCTCTATGACAAGTAGCATGCAACTGGCTGAAGAGTGCTTGAAGCAAGGAGGCTCTGATGAGAAAGAAGCAGAACCTCTGGATGGTCTGGAACTATTTGCTCAAACAATTGATTCAAGTAAGTTAGCTGACTTTAATTTGATGACTATATTTCTATTGTATGGACTGTATCTCTATAACATGTGACTTTATTTTCAGTTTTGAGTAGAGTGAAGGTCAAGTTTTATGACACTGTCATTCGCTTAGAACATGTTCCTAAAGATAGCAACTCAGGAGTGGCAGTAGAAGTACGCATTAGGAGGTACGACACCATCTTGCTTTGACCATTAGCCTTTTAAAACATTTCAGTATCAATATGTTATTTTGTCTTTTTTCTCAATTTCAGTATTGACTATTTGGATGAAGCTGGCTCAGATCCCCCAAATGTTCAAGATGTGCAAGCTGTTCCTGGAGAGAATTCAAAAGCATACCACATAGCAGCCTTCACAACGAAAAAGTTCTGTCTTGAGGGTGTAACTATTTATACAGATGAGTTTCCTTCAAAAGCAAGAACTTTTTCAAAATCAGTGATGTCTATGTCAACTGGATCGACCCCTGACTCCAAGGTTTGATAAGTTTTATCATAATATTTGATTCTGAAAGTTCTCCAATTTCTCACAACTACTATGATGTTTTTTGTTTGATTTTATAGAATTCAGAAACTGCTTTTGCAACAGCACCTGCATCCCCTAGTCAAAGCATGATGGGAGTGCTCCCTAACACTCCTGCTCCAAATTTGTCTCTTGAACCTGACCCTATATTGTTTGGAAAATTGGCAGGCCGGCATGAATTAAGAATAAAAATCAAGCAAGGGGATGGTGTAGTTGGTCCAAAGGCAAGTATCTGTTACAGTTTCTTATGTTTTTGAAAATAATACTGGATTTGAACAATTTTATAATTTATATATTTTCATTCTACAGGTCGATTTAGAACTGAACTTGGGATCACTCACAATATTTTCTTCTCCAAGACAACTTCATGTGTTATTAGAACTTATGCATGGGCTTTCTCAACCTGATACTGTAGATACAAGGTATACTTTGTATTGGTTATAATCCTTGTGCCTTCTGTACAGTACCTTTAGTATAAAAAGAATAGTTTGTAATTGGTGTCAATTTTCAGCAATGTTGCCCCACGTAATAGGTGCACAGAAAAGCCCATGGACCCCTCTGATTTCCAGCGAGTGGAGCAAGAGCTGCAGCAGCATGTCCAAGCACTCTCTCCTCTCCAAAGCAAGGGCTTGCAAAATGCACAAGCGTGGTCTTCAGCACCCCTAGGTAAATGGAGTACTTGTTGTTCATTATTGTTCTTTTATTTTGGTCAAGAAAATGTTTATGTGCTTCATTCAATTTTCAGATGAAAGTGATGATGAATTTTTACCTATGAAAACACGAAACTCCAACCTGAGTGACAGTGTTATTTCATCTGCAACCAGCATGGATGCGTCTTTTTCATCATCTGTAAGTGGTGCGACATCCAGCTGCAGTGGCAAAGATGTTCTCAATAGGCTGGCTGGATCTCCCCATCGTTCATCTGTTTCATCTAATCGTCAGAAAAGAAAGCATAAAGGTGTGCCTTGAGCAACAGACATAGTTTGTACTAATACTACGTATAATGGTGCTCATTTAAAGAAAAAATACAACTTATTAAATATTTTTTCAGGAGCTGGTTCTTCTATTGGTGTTGATGTTGACTCATCTGCAGAAGTGAGCCATTTTCAGGTCAGATTAGGAAGTGTTGCTGTCATTCTCTTGCATGAGGATGTTCTGACTCTCTCTGTGGACCTTGATGGCACATCTCTTGCACGATCCACAGTTTATCAAATGAAAGCCCTGGCCAATGATTTCTTTGACAAGTTGGGCCTATTTTCTGTGTCTGCTATGGGAGGAGCCCAAGCATTTGAGGAGGCTCGAGGTGTATTTTTGAAAGCTGTGCCACGTAATCACATCAGGTAGGTTTTCATTCACTTGCTTCCTTGTATTATACAAATATCTCCTCTATTTATTTTTTTAAAATATTTTTCAGGCTGTTGTCAACTGCTCTTATTTTAGAGGGTCGTGAGAAAACCACCTTACACACAAGCTCCCTCACTGGTCAGGTCACCTCAGCAAGTATGGAAATTCTGGAATGTCTTATAGAAAAAAATACACCATCTCAGGACTACACTAATGCAGAATATGTTGAGGTAAACTTTAAAATAAGCAATTTGTAAAAAATTATTTTACTTTTTCCTGAATACTTTCATATTGATTGAATTTTACAGCTTCTTAAGTTTATAAATGGGCCAGATTCTGAGACTAGTGGTGCTGCCCCTTATGTACAACGCAATGTGCCGAATTTCAAATTGAATTTTCAATATACTGAAAGGCTTACCAGTGGGCCTTCAAGGAACTATGCACAACCTAGAACTGAAATTAGGTAAAGTATTTTATTTTCTAAATTATGTGTATATGCTTGCACTAAAATCAGGTCTATTGTCATATGATTGCTTACTTTTTAAAACTGACTTTTATGGTTGTAATTCTGTATTTCTGTTTTCTTCAGCATTGTGTTAGAACCTTGTTTGTCGGAACTAGATGTTTCCATAGTTGATAGGATCACAGCTGTTCTAAATCCTGAACCAATGTGTTGTAGAGGTAACAACAAAGGATTGAATACAGGCTTGTGGGTATGTAAAGTTAATTAAATATTTTCAGGTTCACTGTAAGTTCAACTTTTCTTTTGTTGTAACGAAATTGTTATCTTTTAGGACTGTAAAGGAGCCTCAAGCTTAACAGATGCACTAGACAACAGGTCTCAGACTGACGGAGGGAAGGTAGAGCTTAAAGTCCATGCATCATTCATAGTTGTTAAACTTAGGTAAGGCCTTGAGGTTTCAAAAGTTTTAATTTCTCAGCATAACATGGCAGTTAGATGTATTATTATCATTTCCTAAACATTTTGTTGGGACTTTTCTATATTAGATTTCCTACCCCGGATTTGAGGCCAATTCATGATATGGACCGTCCTCCATGGTGGAAAAGATGTGTAAGAGAAGACTTCCTTCTTTTGAATATGTCTGATGCTACATTCCAGACAGCATTTAATAGTCGAGATGTATGTTCAACCTATGAAATACAATTTAGAGATGTGCATGGTTTATTTCAAGTAAGTATTCTCATTCATTTTATTCTAAATCTTGGTAAAAAAAATTGTTACATTTTTAGTCATGTGTATTTTATTTACTTGAAGGAAGGAGATTCCGAAAACCCTGTTTCTATTCTCCATGCCCATGCTGATGAAAAGAGTGGACAGTCTTTACCTAATAATGGGGAGGGTTTTGGATGGCCAAGGTAAATTGATGTGTTCCAGTTCAGTCACTTCTGTATTTTGAAGTATCTTTATCAAAGTTTCAATGCATCTGATTACCAATTTTACAGGCTAGTAGTACGCTGTTATCCAACTCAACTTCTTGGAGACTTGGATGAATTTCCTTCAGTTCATCCTGAGGAGTCGATCAGTTATTCTTCTATTGATCTTCTTAGTAATGCTGCATTCAAAGAGCCATCTCCCTTCAGTTCAAAGCGGGTTGTTCATGAAAGTGACACACCTCATGGGAAAACATCTTGCCCCACACAAGGTCTCTAGACTTCAAAAAACACAGACTTATGGTATTTGTTGGCCTTTTTTTAAAACCCAATGTATAATGTCTCCTTATTTTTTTCCTTTCAAATATTTGTAGATGGTGAAGAACTTATTATTCCGGGCAATCAAAAAGAAATGAACGATTTCATAAACTATGCAACCCGTAGCAGTCAGCTTCAGTTTGAAATCCATCTCCCTTGTGCAACTGTTCAGTTTCCTTCAAAGCATATGTATGAACTAGTATACAACAGGTAAGCTGAAACTTGCATTATGTTCCAAGTAAGAAATTTATTTTTCGTGCAAGCTGATGTTGATGATGAACACTCTGTTTATTTCAATTTCAGAATCAGCACAGATTTATTGCTTTGGTCACCATCTGCACCAAAACCTAAGGGTGTTGTCCCTACTGTAGTACAGGACTTGTCATCCTTCCCCAATTTTTCACCCTATCCTGGCTTTTCGATGTGCAAATCTGGCATTCAGTATGGTACGTTTCAGCTGATACTTTTCTTCTGTAAATGTCTGTTACACTTTCTACAAAAATTATTAAGTTTTTATTGACTGTTTCAGATTCTGATTCTGATTCCATTGATGATGCAGACAATGAAACAGGAATGTATTATTCTGTTTATGACACCCGACATAAACCAAAGAGTATGCGCCCAAATACTGGTAGTTCAAGAGATGGTGCCTCTTGTGGACAAAGTCAAGCCTCTGTCTCAGTATCTGTTGGTCAGGGTGTTTTTTCCATATTTACTCCGGTTCGGGTAGGCAAATCTTTGCATGAGATGTTAAAGAAGTTCGTAAAACACCCAACCTTTTTTTTTTTACTAAAATCCTATTTTATTGTAGGACTCTCTTGGTAATGTCATACCAGGACAGCAAGGAGAATTACTGGTTCAACTTGATGAAGGCAATATGTTCCTAGTTTCTCAATTTCGTGGTTGTCCTAAACTGGGATATGTGTGTGTTCAAGTGAACCATGCAGCTGTTTTCCACAATGGTATCAAACCTACAGTTTTGCTGTCTATCAGGATTTTTTTTTTTTTTTTTGGAAGGTATCATATTTACGCTTTCTCTCTAACAGGTATTGCCCCAGCTCCTACAACTTGTCCAACTCTTCACCCTGTTGGAGTGGCTCCTGGGGCCCATCTCTTTCCCACCATGTATCGTTCAGAAAAAGGTGTTTTGAGCGCCACAAGTAGTCATTCCATTGGAACTGGCAGCAAGAACAGTTTAGATATGATCACCGTTGCTTTACGAATTCAGGTTGAGGAGGGAAGCCATAATCTCAAGGTAGAAAGACAGTTTCATGGAGTCAGTTTTAAGTTTCCCTAATTTTTCATAATACATTACAATACATTTTTCTATTCCATCAGACTTTTAGAGTAGCTGTTGGTATAAGAGGTACAACTCTTCACCATAAGATGAGTACATCAGGTCATAGCTGGTTTAAACAGTTAACTGACTATTTTGATGTCTTGGATTATCCTGTGGCTGGTTATGAGCGTCCTTGTGTTATCACAGAATTACACCTGCATTTTTGGGATTGTGCTATTGATTACAGGTAATGTCTCACTTTTGTTTTATCATCTTTGACACATTCAATAGCAAGGTTTTTAATTCATTTATTTTGTTTAATAGGCCAATCTATTTACCACTGAAGTCGATGCTTACACTTGGAACCCTTAGCATTTCAAGCAACATAGCAGCTCAAACTAAAACCTCAACCTTAAGATTCATGGCTGAAGATGCATGTTTGCTTCTGGCTGAAAAATTAAGTAGCAATGCGGGTGGCACAGATTTATGCAGAGATTATGTGTGTGTAATAGATCTTGGACTATTTGAGTTATCATTACGGTTGAGTGACAAGGCAAACGGATCAAGCCCCAGAGTTGACCTCAGAGCTTCCAACAACATGCTGCATATTAGAACCTGCCCTGACTCAGCTCGTGCATTGACAGATTTACTGTCATACTTTTCTGGGGATGGAGATTTAAGTCAACAATTAGACTCTGAGCCAACCAGTTACAGTAGTAGCAATAGACCCTGGGGAAGTGAATCTTTCTCAAGCAGCAAAACTAATTCGAGCAGTGCCACCGTTCGGGAAGCCACCCCTGCTAGTCCAGCTCGTTCTCATAGTCGCAGTGAGCGAGAAACTTTGATTCAGCTTGATGGAGCTGATTTATCTGCTCAACCAACCCTCTCAGCAAAACAGGTTCATCATGTTCACTCGTTGATGGAAGAGGCCATGCTGGACACCAATGCACCCACTGTTTCAAATGCTTCAGGCAAGTAGCACTGGTTGGCACATTCCTTTTTAAACAGGAATGTTTTGGAAATAGAGGTTTTGCTTTTAGAACAGGAGACTAATAAAATTTCTTATCCCTTGCAGCCGTACCTCACTCTCATAAAAATAATGATGCTGTTGAGGTATTCTATTTCCCTGACGAATCCCAAAAGACAAAATCAAATGAAAAGTCAGATGGAATCAATGATGACAGTAGTGGTAGTGTGACTTTGGATCATCCAGAAATGAATGAAGCAGTAGCGGTGGAGGAGGATACAGAAGATGATTGGGATGATGAGTTCTGTATCCTAGAAGAAGTAACTGGGGCTGGGATTCCGGTAAGCATTTCTTTAACATTGCATAGCATGCATTACAAAGACCATAATAAATGTACATATGACCTCATCACTTTGTTATTCTCTTTCAGCCAAAAAGTGGACTTCCTGAGATTCGTGCTCTCATTCCTGAGCGTATTCAAGTGTTGGATAATCACTTTGCCATACCACATGGCAAAGCAGACCTCCTGAAACCCCCTAAACATTATCCAGTGCCAGTGATGCGATACACACTCCGAGAGATGAGTGTGGTGTGGCATATGTATGGTGGAAATGATTTTGGACCTTCCAAATGTTCCCCTCCCACTCAAGTAGCAAAGAAGAGGGTTCATATTTATGATGGACCTGAAAGGTAATTTCCATTTCTCTTTAAAATTTTCCCCTCAATGTGAACTGATTTGTTTTAAATGTGTATCTCTTTTAATGTTCTTTCCATTAGAAACAGTACTTCTCAGCCGACATCTCGTTCTCAGGGTAGCTCAGCTAATGAAATAGGAGTGGGCATTGTTGCCTTTTCAAAGAATAATCCACAGGAGGTCAGCTCATACCTTTATTATTATTATAAGAACCAAAGTTCTCATCTCAGTTTTACCAAAATATTATTATTAATTAACAGGTGCGATTTAGTGCAAGTAATTCAAATCGGAGTGTTCCAATTAAGTCCTGTCCAACCACTCCAATGACTTGGCAAGCTATGGGGGGTCCTGGTCGTAAACATGACACTCTGATGGAGCTACAGCTGAATAAGGTGAGTTATTTTTGTGACTTGTAAACTACATGTGTTCAAGAAGTTAGCGTCTAAATATAATCAATTCCATTCTAGGTTCGTTTCCAACATGAGGTGTACCCAGAAAATACTACTGAAGCATCTCGTCAAGTTCTTCTCATTCATGAAATAGAAGTGAGAGACCTATTGGCATCCAGCGAAATCAACAAATTTCTTTACCAATACTCCAGTGAGACAAGACCGAAGCAGTCACATGCCAATATGTTGGTTTTGAAAGCTCTTCATATTCGGCCTGATCCAAAGCTAATAGCTCAAGAATGCTGCCTTAAAGTTTCACTGCTGCCTCTGCGACTTAACATTGACCAGGATTCGCTGCTGTTTTTGTACAACTTTTTCTCAGAAATTTCTGGTAACCCTGATGAAGGCAAGGCAAAATTTCACTTTAATGACTTAGCTAACAGTTTTACCATCCAGGCTTTTGGAACTGTATGTTATTATATCTTAAATGTAATCTATTGTATATTGTTGCAGAGGAAGATGGAAACCAATGTAGCACACCTCGTCTGGCTACACCAACTCATCAGCATTCCCATCAACCACCTGTGATGACTGTGAATATCAATGATGGACACAGCATTATTTTACCTACAGACCAGTCAACATTTTTGATACAGCTTGAAGAAACTGATGCACTTGCTGGTTTGAAGGATGGAAATATGGTTTCTCATCAGACCTCTAGTCTTGATTCTGCACAAGCAGATAGTGCAGACAACCAGCCTCCACCACCACCCATTTACTTCAGGTACTGTGTTATTTATTACTTAGCTTAACCCTGCGCTGCATTTAGAATCAATACCATGATCCAGTTACATATTTGTTTGGACAGGAGTTTCACCTTTGCCCCAGAAGTGCCTATCCGATTAGATTATCAAGGAAAACACGTAGATATGACACATGGTCCTCTAGCTGGTCTACTCATGGGACTAGGTCAACTGAGTAATTCTGAGCTGAAATTAAAACGTCTTTCCCACCGTCATGGGTATGTATTTGAGTTTCGTTGAATTTTGCATCAAATATCACTACAGTTGATTATATTCCTTTTTTCCCTCAGCCTCCTAGGTTTTGACAAGCTTATGACCTATGCTTTACTGGAGTGGTTGCAAGATATAAAGAAAAATCAGCTACCCAGCCTTTTAGGAGGTGTTGGACCAATGCATTCTCTCGTGCAATTGTGTCAGTGTTAATCTCTTCCTTTTTCTCTCCATTTTATCTCCACAAATAGTTACAGTTACTCAAAGCTTAATTTTAATTTTTTTCAGTTCAAGGAATACGAGACCTCTTTTGGCTGCCTATTGAACAATACCAAAAAGATGGTCGTATTGTGCGTGGTCTTCAGCGAGGTGCCAATTCATTTACTACATCAACAGCTATGGCTGCTTTGGAACTTACTGGCCGATTGGTTCAGGCTATTCAGGTAAATTCTGCTAAGAATAAGATCCTGATACTGAACTATTTATCATTCATTACAACCACTAAAATTTTACCTCTTTTCTTTCCAGTGCACCGCTGAAACAGCGTATGACATGCTTTCTCCTGGCCCAAGTGTCCGGCACAGAGCTGTTGCAGGGAAAGGCAAGGGCCAGAGGAGAAAACGCAACAACCAGCCACTTGACATCCGAGAAGGGATGCATAATGCGTATAATGTTGTAAAAGAGGTGAGACTACATTTTTACCATGGTCAAAAGTCATTTAAAATAAGGTTGTTATTCTAAAATAATGTCTCTTTTCAGGGTATAAGTGAAACTGCTGAAAATGTAGTGAGGGTTGCCAGTGAAGAACATGAGCAAAAGGGTATGACAGGTGCAGTGGGTGGAGTGCTGCGCCAAATTCCAGGTTTGGCTGTGAAACCTGCCATATTTGTGTGTGAAGCTACCCACAATGTTATTGGTGGAATGCGAAGCCAGCTAAAACCTGACACTCGTCGAGAGGCAGTTGAAAAGTGGAGATCTGTTGAATAAATGACATCTCTCTTAAATGTTCGTTTTAAAAGGGTTCAGGTACTACCGAGTTTTTTGAAAAATTATAGACAAGAAAATACATTGTAACAAATGTAACATCATTCAGCGTGTATTCTGTGTAAAATGATTATTAATTTCACGATTAGCTCTCTACTTGTGAAGCAGCAATCGCAAAAGAGATCAATGATATGGTCTTCTTCAGATATTTTCGTCCAGGAATGTGAATGTTCTGTTTGTTGAACAGTTACTGACATTTATGTTCACTTACAATTTCACAATGTCTTTTGAATTTCGATTTTTAACTAGACTAGAAATAGTTTGATACTATCCTTTATTCTCTTCTTGCATGTTATCTCATGTTTTCATCTTCTTCTACAAAAGGCTTGGTGTAAACTTTATTGTATCTTATTCTTTTTCTTGAGTAGTTTTTGCAATGTTGAGTACCACACATTGCAAGACACCTCAAGTTATTCTGACTGCTATTGCAAATAAAAAACAAGTGCTTAGCAACTGAAGCATCATGTCATCGTTACGGTAGCTTATAACTATAGCCTTTTCCGGGGACAGTAGGATAATTTTATTGTCTGTATTTTCCTATGCTTTTTGACATTGCAATATGATGTCCCATGATTTGAATTGTTCTAATAGTGTGACCACTCCTGCCTGCATGAAATTTTTCATTCAAGCTCAATTCCTTTAAGAATTTCTTGTTCCACTTTTGATAGTGTTTTTTCTCAGCTCTTTACATTTGAACTGTGTGAAAGAAATGAGCTAGATAAGGGGATGTGACTCAAGTGTTCCTCCTTTACAACTGTAAAAGTGACTCAAATATTTTGATTATTTGAGTTATGTCCTGTGTCCACATTTCTGTAAGTTATAACTAATTGAAATGCTTGCATTTCACAAAATGGAGAGAGACAGAAAATACTGTATCCAATTCATAATAATTTGTTTTAAGCTCTGGAAAAGAAAATTCCTATAAACAGTGTCTTGTCTTCCACACCTTCCTTCTTTAGTTTGCAATAATAGGGAGTAGTGATGTGAGTTCTGCAATAATGCAGACAATCAAGCTAGTTCTGATTGGTGGAATGTGTCGCTTTGGATAGCGGTGTTATCAATTTTATCTTTCTGACCCATCCACGTTTGATGGAGTACACGATTGTGAAGTGAAATAAGTCCATTTTGACGATGGCAAACAATCTTTAAGAGTGGGATGCAATTTCTTGTGAAAAATATGTGATATGTGTTTTCTCCTGTATGGCAGGTGAGAAGATTGAAAGTTATTTATGTTGAATTCCATTTGTAGCTACTGGTTTTGAACTTTGCTGTGAGTTTTGTTATTGTTATGTGATATCTGTATATATTCTACTTCATTACATGAATGTTACTGTTAGCTAGTACTGTGTATGCAAATGGAAGTCAGGCAAGTCTTATTGTATTAGCCTTACATGTTAGCTTTGCTTTTTGCTCTTTAACTGTAAGTGTTTTAATTGCTTTTTCACCTGTCAAATAATCCTGTTTGTGAATGGCATCAAAGTCTTTATTTCAATTAAATTTGTCATACTAAAGTGCCATTCTAAAGTTTTGAAAATAAATTAATTTTTGTTCATTGAGATGTTAAGCTTTTTATAATAATAATTATGTGTGTGGAGATGTTTTTACAATAAGGGTGTTTGAGAATATTTTGAATTTATAAAATTTGTTCAATGAGAAGTGAAGTAATGTACTGCAGTTTTCAACATATCATGTGATGGATTTTGGCTTTGTCTCCAAATCATGTGAACTTGTCTGTTTTGGACTGTTGGCTTGATTGCTATTTCCTCAAATAATTTTGTCATTCTTAGGTACTTATGGTGATCACACAAACTTTACAAACCCTGAGAAACAAAATTACAGTTATTGCACAATAATTATCTGTTAACAAATCTATGGAGATTAAGACTGTATCACTGTTTTTTATACTCTGTATTTGTTCTATGCATTGATTTAACCGCTCTGAAAAATAAAAGATATTTATTTAGCTGTGAAGATGTTAGAGAAATTTTAATTCAAGTGGTGCCGCTTCCAAATTCTCTTTGGATTAAACAAGAGCAAACTAGGAATTTTCTATCCTGTACAGAATCATAGCAATCTTTTTTTTTTTTCTTGTGATTGATCATGACACAAGAGTTGAATATTTGCCTATGAACCTTTGAATCAAATTATGCATTTTGAGTGTTCAATTTTGTAAATCTTCAGTCAAATATGGTGCTCTTAGGTACTAAAGGTTATTTTTGTAGCGCTGTTTATTCACTCGTTGAATAAATGATTAAACTGACCTGTCGTCTATTTTTCTTACTTTTCTACCACACCATCCTCATCCACCGGACACACTTGTTGGCGAGCCAATGAACGCACAGATGCGTCGAGAGACAGCCGCTGGGTGACAAACAAACCAAAGACAACCAACGAAACAGCTAAAAAGGCAATTTCAAGGTTGGAACGCATGCAAAAAGCACCACAAAAGAGCCCGAAACTATTTTTTAGAAAACAACAACAACAACTAAGAACGAAGGTATCGTTTCCGCTTTTGAGATTTCTTCATACTTTTCTCCGTTTTGTGGTTGGTACGGCCGAATCTCGCAACTGGCAACACTGCAAAAGCCGTGTGAGCCAAAAGTTTCACGCAACGCAACAGTTGAGACGGAATCATGGAGAATAAGTAAGTTGAATAATATTTATCTATACTTGCCAACTGCTGTTGCCGATGACTTGAAAGAAACTGCTGTCAAAACTGCTGTTGCTGTCCGGCACGAACTTTTCTAAATCAACTGCTTGAAAGGGCCTCACTACCCGGCACACGGCGTGTGGGGAAAGGCTACGATGAACGTTCGCCATTGTCTGCGAGCTAGATTCTGTAAATAGAGAAAGTTTGATGGAATGTGCGTCGGTGAGATTATGACCGCCAAGCGCATGCCTCTGCCTGTCTGTGTTTCAGAGGTTAGTTTTTGTGTTGTTGTTGTTGTTAGTCGCCGTTTTGTTTACGCTCTCCCTGTGAGCCGGTGAGCCGCCCCCTCCCCTTTCCGTCCGCCCCCTTCCCCCTATTCTTCGCACTCCTCGTCCTGTTCGAGGAAGAAAGTGATAGCGTCCTCTGGAGGCGCCGCGCCGCGTCGGTGCCGTCGGTCGGTACCCCGCGCGGTTTCTTTGAGGATTGCAAAGCGATACAGGGGGTTTTGGCTCGGGGCCGAAGTATCCCCTCCTCCCCCTTCCAGCCCCGAGGCCTTGACGTGTCATGTGATGTGCATCGTCTCAGTTGCAGCTTCGTGCAAGCCACGCAAGCCATGTCTCCGCGGGGCCCTCAGCCTTTGCCTCTGCCGCCACCGCCGGTGTACCTGAAACCGTGGCGGCCGCGGGTCCCGGTCACCAGGCCGCTGCAGTACCTCAAGGTGGACGCGCTCAAGTCGCAGGTGAATGCTTCCCTCGACGCGCGGGTGGCGCCCTTCGTGGCGCAGACCAGCGCGCCGACCGTGGAGCGCTCCAAGGCCCAGGTCGCGAACGCCTCCGTCCTGAGCGCGATGAAGGACGCCCTCCGCCAGGTGATGGCCGACGTGGTGCAGAACGCCATGCCCCTCGTAGAGCAAGTCATTGACCAGGCCAGCGTGGAAGCGGGCAAGTACCTGGCGGAGGACGACGCCAAGTTAACTGCCGAACAGGTCAGTAACCAGGGGTGCAGCACTCGGAAGTAGACTCAATTAAACTGGCAGGGTAGTAAGTGTACCGCTTTGATTCAGTCTCTATCGTTCGTCGAGACCTCGTTCCGGCCCAAGGTGATGTCCGTGCTGGACGCGGCGGTGGCCTCGCCGAAGACCAACCAGCTGGTGCAGTCGTCCATCGAGAAGGCCGTGGAGGACGCGCTGACGGACACTCAGTCCGAGGTGGTGTCCACCCTGTCGCACTGGGCGCTGCACCGCACCGTCGAGACCATGCTGCTGACGGAGGTCTTCCCCGCCATGACGCGCACGGTCCTGGACACCTTCATTCAGCGCGCCCAGAAGCTGGTTCGCGTCGGCGGTCTAGTCCCCGCCGGGACGACGGATTCTCGCACCGTGACGCGTGTCACCGCGTTGGAGGTGGCGGCGGAGACCATGCAGCGCTGTCTGCGCCTAGGGCCTCCGCCTGTGCCCGTGCCCGTGCCCGTCGTGCCGCCGCCCACGCCGTCCACGCCCCTGTCCTCGCTCGCGGCCTTGCCGGCCTTGCCCGCGGCGTCGTCGCCGGCGCCGCTGCTGCCCAGCACGGTGCCACAGCAGGCCAAGAAGATAGCCATACCTATCCGGGCTCCACCGCCCCCCTTCCCCTTCACTGTAAGTTGCGCACGGCTCCGGAGTGCACCGCATGGCAGTGTAGTGGCATGGCGCCTGCAGACGCGGGGGTAGGCCGGCCCGCAACGCACACGTGCGTGCGCTTGCGGATGTTGCCTGGCTTCTCAAATACTTAATCATTGCCTGTGTTTTTTCTCCGCAGCGTTCGAGGCCAGGCGTGTTGCGGCCACAGTGTAGGCCCAAGCCGCAGCTGGACGCGCTGCCGGACGACGTGCTGCTGGAGGTGCTGCGGTGCGTCGAGCCCACCGAGATCCTGCAGTGCGCGCTCGTCAACCGGCGCTGGTTCAGGCTGAGTCGCAGCGACGCGCTGTGGCGCCGCAAAGAGATCAGGTGGGCCTGCTGCCGGCCTGCTGCCGGAAGACCGGCACATGCGGGCAAAACTGTGGACGCGTTTTGAGCTCTGCTTATAAAAACTCGAACTGAGCGTAAGACCTCACCAATGGATTCCTCGTTCGGAGAGCAATCCCATTGGTGGGGTCACACGTTCGGTTGGAGTCCCATTTAGCGACTCCGGAGCTCCAAACGCGTCAGGAGTTTTGACTGCTTCCACCGGTCTTTAGGCCCACTGTGCGGGGATACTCCACGCGTGGGGCGCGGAGTATCGCGTGGCTCATCTCTCTTGATAGAACTGCCTCCGAAGAATGAACGGACTTCGGGGCGTTTCAGGTACGACCCCTCCTCGCGGGCGGCGTTCGCGGCCGTGCTGCGCTGCGCCCCCGCGCTGCGCATGGTGGACTGCGAGGCCATGACGGCCACGGCGGGCTGCGGCGAGCACGCCTCGTCCTCGTCGCCCGGCTCCATGTCGGACCACGACCTGTTGCGACTGCTGCACTCGCCCTGCCGCATCAACGGCCTGCGCCTGCCCGCCGCGCTGGCCAGCGCGCCCTCCCTGGTCGTCTCCGTGCTGGAGAAGCACAAGGACACCCTGGCGCAGCTGCACCTGGTGTCCAAGCCCGGCCAGGGCGACCCCTGCGACCTGAGCGCGCTGCTCCACGCCGTGGACCACCTGCCGCACCTCTGGAAGCTCACCCTCGCGGGGCCCTTCAACCTGGAGTACACCTTCGGGCCGAGGATGATGGGGGCGCCGAGGCGGAAGCTACTGGTACGTACTCTGCGTTGCGAGTTAGCTCGCTGCCCGCGCAGTCCGCCTGACCCGCTTTGCTTGCAGAGCTTGGACCTGTCGCAGTACTCGTCCACGTCGCCGCACACGGCCTGCAGCCTCATCGACGCGTACTCGGTCACGCTGTGCTCCGTGGCGCTGCCGCCGAGCGCCGGCGCCAAGGAGCTCGGGTGCCTGAAGGCGTGCTTGAAGCTGAGCAGCCTGACGGCGGCCGCGGACGTGCTGTCGCAGCTGAGCGTGCTGCCGCCGGTCTCCAGCCTCACCGTGACGGCGCCGCGGCGCAGTCCCCTCGTAGGATTCGGCTTCGGGTGCCTCCCGGAGAAGGCCGCTGCCGCCGGCAAGCTGCTGCACCTGACGCTGGACGGCGTGCCCGTGGCCTGCGACATCCCCGTCGTGGTGCGCCAGGCCATCGGCTCCGTCAGCATCCTGACCCTGAGGCGCGTCGACATGGAGGGCCACGTTCGCTTCGTGGGCCAGATGCCCAGCCTGGAGCACATCGTGTTCGACGGGGTGGAGGACCTGTCCGACAAGCACCTGCGCCAGCTCGCCGAGTCCAAGCCCCACCTCAGGTACGTCACCTTGTTGTTCGGGCCCACGGGCGTGCGTTTGTTCAATTGGTCCCGCTGTCTCACCGCCTGCCTCTCCGCAGGAGCCTCTACGTGCTGCGGTCGCTGCGCTGCTCCGAAGACGTCTGCTGGGCGCCCGTCGCTCGCTACATGGAGGCCGCCTGGCCCCGGGCAGACATCCACCTCGACCTGCAGTGCAGCTGCAAGACGCAGTGATGGCGCGGGGGCCCGCTGGTTGAGACAAGACTCATTTTCAAGAATTTGCCTCGTGCAAAGTCAATGTCAATGTGTCATTATGATTTAAGTTAGAAATGTGTGATGATGTTTTTAAATAATATCCCTATCTTTGTTAAGGCGTCCCTGTTATGACGCCTTTAAATTAAGTTTAAGTTAGGTAGCGTCAAATATCAGAGTATTCTTTTATAATTACTCTTGCATCCCTCAATAAATATTTTTGTACTTTCATTTGGTGCTCTTTGATTCCTTTCCCTTTGTTGGTCAACATACTTGAGTTGTACTCACGTACTATCTCGACTAGTACATGAACAAATTCGACTGAAAAACTTGTCGATTGATTAATCATACGAATAATCTCACTCAAGCCCTAAGTGCAAGTGGCATCAATTTCTCGACACACATTTTAAAATGAAGCTCTTATTGAGTTCCGGTTTTCCAGGTTCATTGGTGTGGGTTAAGCACGTGCATGTGCGCGATGTATTCTAGTGTGGGTTCCGGGCACATAACACGTTACGGCGTTTGTGGACGCCCTTCGAGGAGCGCCGCCCAATTATGAATACAGCAGCCAGCTACTTGGCAGGCAGGCAGCGCAGGCAGCCTCCCAGGCATGATTCAATTAATTTGTTGGCTGGCATCCTGGCGTCTCGTCAGGCCGAAAAATAGGCGCGCGTAATGATGTAAGTGAGTTAGCGCGGGGCTCCTTCGCCCTGTCTCTCTCGCACCCGTGCGGAACCGTGTGGAACGCCCGAATGGCCCGAATAGTGCGAGAGGGACAGCACTGCCTGGAGGTGTCTGGCCGCGTCGGGCGGGGGAGGGAGAGGGCGCGTTGCCTACCGACAGGGGTTATCCCGTTTTGCCTCGGAGACTGCGGGCTCGTGAAGAGGCGGCTCATATGCCACCGCGAATCATGGAACATCTATGATGCCACGTGGGAGACGGTTTCACAGGGACTTAAAATGAAGTGTTAGTACGAGTGCTACCGCACTGTGGGCCGCCCCAGCGAGTGCAGGGCCACCGGCAAAAGCATGCAAATGAGTCGGCCTACTGTCCCACGGCCTGGAAGGCCCTGGAAGGCAGCGAAGGGCTGCTGGCTGCCGTCAAGGGCAAGGGCCGGCCGACGCCGTGCCGCCGTGCCGGCCGGCGACGTAGCGCGCCAAGATGGGGGCCTTCTCCTTCGCCTGCCTCCGGAACAGGCACGGCAGCAACAGCCACCCTTCTCTCCCGTTCCCTCCGGTCACGAGACGAAGCGGCGTTCGCACGCAGCCCGCGCGCCGCCAGCTTGCTGCCAGTGCTGCCAACCACACTAATTAATCCTTTTACAACCACTGAAATTTAATTAACTTTTGAAGACGAGGCGTGGCGGCCCGGAGAGGGATGGGGACGGGGTGGGAGCGCGGACCGTTTGCCGTTTGGCGCGGAGCGCGGAGAGGAGGGAGGCCGCTTTCGCATTCGGCTGCTGGCGGCACGACGCGTGTTTGGCAGGGATGACCGCACACGACACTCACGCACACACACGCACACACTCACGCTAGTGGCAAGAAAACTCGACGTCAGTTCGGCGCTGTGCCGATGTTTGTTTTACGGGAAAATGTCCGGGCCGCGGCCGCGCCACTGCCTTCCAGGAATGCCCGCGAGGGTTGGGACTTTGGCACCCCTGCTCCGCCGGCCCCGCCCCGCCCTCTGAGCCGCAGAATCCCAAGTTGGTGTGGGCGGTGTGTGGGGCGCGGAGATAAAATACGGCCGTTTAAACATTGTTTACTGCAACGGAATCGCCAATATTTCTCGCGGTTTAAAGACCGCCCGCGCCGCGGTGCGGCCGCGGCTCAGGGAGTGCATAGCAAGAAGTCAGGCGGTCGGGCCCCGTGCTGTGGGCTCCTGTGTCTCTCCCTCACTCGCTCACACTCTCACACAAACACACACGCCCCCGGCCAGGGGACGGGGAAGTCCCTCCCCGGTGGATTCCGCGCGTCTCTTGTATTTCCGAAGAGTGCAGTGCTCCTCGAACACCTGTCTCTCCGGAGAGAAAATTCCTGTCTCCTGCCCGGCTGGGAGGAAGTCGTCCGGGAGGACGGCCTGGGGGCTTTCCTCCGACGGGGTGGCCCCGCTGCCCCGCCGCCTCGCCGCCTCGCCGGGGCGGTCCGCAGGACTGTACTCGCGAAAGATCCTAAAAGTGTAAAAAAAAAAAACCCAAAAAAACAAATTAGCAACAAACAATAAATTTTCAAAAAACGGGGAAAGCATTTTGCGAGGGCACGTCTTACGACTCGACTCGAGCGGCGCTACGTGCTTTCTGAATCGGTTGGAGGGGGTGGGGTGGAAAGAGTTCGGCGCACTCGGCGCGCTGCTTGAATTAGAGCTGTTGGTCATATCTCGCGAAAAGTGCGCTGCACAAACATTTGTTTTGTGTTTTAATTTTCCGCGGCCCGGCTCCAGCTCGGCTGTGCTCGGCTTGTTGGCAGCGCTCGCCAACGGCAGCGGCAGTGGCCCGCGTTCTTCGGAATCGCTGAGCAGGAAATCTGTCTGGGAATGACGCAAGTTTTGCCGTTTCACTCTGCAATTCATGGCGGAAAGGAGGGCGAAAGTCTATTAATTTCGCTTCCGTTTTGGCCGGCGGTGGCCAGGACGGGGCATTGAGTGGGGGAGGGGGGGGGGGGGGGGACAGCCACGATTGTTTAGCAATTTCCGACTTGGTGCAGCCTGTGCCCTAACAAGCCACTCTCAAGAAGCCCTGTACGGCCACGGCAAAAAGGCTCGAAACGCTGCGTCGCTACCCCCGGCGCTACTCCACGCGCTAACGTCTCTCGCGCGCGGGGTAGCGACGGTTCTGTGTGCGAGCGCGCGCCGTGGTGGGCACGCTGCTTTGAAACGGCCGTGCCCCTTTCTCGATTTTGATTCCGATGGCTTCTTATTTTTGGCCGGCCCTGGCTGCCCTGCCCGCCCGGCCGCAGGGCGTCGCAGGGGTGGCGGATGTCTACATGGCCGGGAAGTGTGAGGAGTCGAATCATGTCGGGATTAGCACGAGCTGCGTGAGCCAGCCCTCCAGAGGCGTGGCGGGGCGGGGCGGGGCGTGGCGGGGCGGGGGGGCGGGGCGTGGCGTGGCGGGGCGGGGCGTGGCGTGGCGGGGCGGGGTGGGGCGGGGCGGGGCGGGGCGGTTGATTGCCTACGCTCAAGGTGGACGCACTGCACGCGTGGGAGCCCTCTTAGGCCCTACGGTGGTCAGGCGGGCCGAGGGAAAGGGGCGGGGGGCGTTTGAGATTGAACCAGTCTAGACCTCCCGAGCTCGGCGGCGCAGTTTGTATCCCTGGGGCCCTGACTCCGTTCCGCCTGGTTCCGACGCGCCGCGGAACGCGTGGCGTGGTTCAGAAATTCAGGAGGCTGGCTCATCAAAACAGGCCTTCCTCGTGGTCAGGAGGAGCGGCGCGGCGAGGCGCAGTCGCCCCTTGTTTTCCCATAGTCCCGGGTTCAAATACTCTTCTTTGTATTCATTTTTTCCCCATGCTTTCGCGGCGCGTTGTGTTTCCTTTTCCTTCTGGCGGGTCGAATAACTTGACGTGTCGCGGTGGCGGCGGCGGCTCTGCGAAGGCTCTGCGGGTCTAGACCGTCTCGCCGGGGCCACGACGACCGGGGCTCCGGGCTAGGCGGGGCTAGGCCCCCTAAACGGCTGCTCGGGGACCGGCGTCCACCCCGATGACCGGACCGGATCCTAAGACTGTGCAATGTGCTCCTATCCCTCCAGCACACAGACACGCAGACACGCACACACCCACACACACACGCGCACAGAGCTCCCCGTCTCGACTGGCCGGGCTTACCACCGCGCGCACAGTGTGCCGCACACGGACATAAAATGAAAATCCACCGGCAGAAAGGAGTTGGTTTCTCTTCCCGTCTGGGAGAGTGGGAGTCTGTGAGGGTGTCTCGGTGTTTCGTTCCGCAGGAAGCTGGAGACTGGAGATGCCGTAGCGTGGCTGCAGTGGCTGCAGTGGCTGGCCGCCGCCCGGAGGGTAGACTACCCCGCCGGCCGCCGTGCGCCGCGGGCCGGCCTACCTCGCCCCTGTCCGACTTTCCCTCTGTTTCTTTCTGTCTGTCGCGCTGTGACTGGTGGCGCGCCGTCACTCGGTTTCGTCACTCCGGAGGGGAGCCCTCCGCCGCGCGCCCTCGTCACTCGAGTGTGTTGGAAAGAGATAAAACGAAAAGGAAAAGGACGACGCACTGCACTTTTTTCCCGCCAACTTTCTTGCTTTTTTTCCTTTCCGCGGAAGAGGATGCGTCCGTCTGGAAGGAGGCGGACTCGTCTTCGGACAGGATGAAAAATTCATGTCTAATGGCCGTGCGTGGGCGCGGCGTGGACGCCGTGGACGCGGTGGACGCCCCGACGACGACGGCCTCGGGGACCAGATTATACGCTGCCTTTTAAATAATAGTTTCGTTTCGACCGGCGCGCTGATTTCCGTGGGGTCAAATACCACGCCCTCTGGATTTTCAGTCCGAGCCTGATGCGGGCAACCCGCAAAATTCGGTTACACACACTGGTTGGAAACGACTAAATTTTGTTACTTTTAATCGTTTTCAAAGTTGTTTTTTTGACTCTGCAGTGGTGTGCAGGCCGGAGGGGCGGCGGGCCTGCGCCGATGCACGCCGCCATGCCCGTGCCACCCTTCGGCCCCTGGGCCTGCACCGCGTGCACCGCGTGCACCGCGTGCGCGGGGCCTAAACGCCACCCCTTTCGTCATATGCATGCCGGATTGCTCGAGCCATCTGTCCTGTCCAAGACGCCCTGCTGCGCCCTGCTGCGCTCTGCTGCCTTGCCCTCCCCGGCGAGGCCCCGGCCAGCACGTGTTGAGCCTGTTCCAGCGCGAGGCCCTTGGCCGCACGTGTCACATCGCGCCAATTGCAGTGCTGCCAACTCACGGGGTTAAAGTTGAAGCTGGTAAGCCCGGTCCCGTGCAAATATTGGCCCGGGGGCAGGTACTCACTCTTGGCGTATAGTTTGGAGTTGAGGGCGCACGGCGTGCGCAGCGCCGGGGCGGTGTACCTCACCGCGCTCATGCCGCCGCGCGCTCCGCCAGGGCTGCCAACCTCACCACCCTCCGCCGCGAGTACAATTCACACGCGCTGAAATATTCACTGCAACCTGAGAAGGCGCGAGCCATCACTTATTCATGGCGAATTGAAGGCGTCTCAAGTGACCGCTCTGGGCCGACACCGCCGCCACCAAGACCCTCCCC